GAAAATAAGATGGAGATTAGTTTATATGTCAAACATAAAAACATTTGGGCTTCTGAGTTTAAAACCTTTGAAAGGTGTTGATTTGGTTTCTCGTGTCTCTCAGACATTCCCAGTTTAACTGGAATGAGGAAAATGAGTCTCCACCTGTAGAAACTATTTAGAAATGTGATCAAACAGGAGAAAAGTTTGTTCAGGTAACGGAGGAAGCATGTTTTCTATCTCCTTTCTGAATCAGTGTTTTCAGATGTTTTCAGCAACAGTCCCTATGTTCAGGTGTCCCTCAGGGGTCGGTCTTTGGACCAGTTTTATTTCCTCTGTTCAGTATAACAAAACCCAGTTCATGACAGAAACAGAGAGGAATCATTACAACTTTTCTTGTGAACCGTCTGCAGGATGTTTATACTAACTGAACTTTAGACGCTTCAACATGTTTCTGGATGGTAAAGAGAGAATTAGTATTCAATGTTAGGATTCCTGGAGAAATGAAAAAAAAGATTATAAAAAACTGGCTGATGTGGTTAAATTTAACCTCCAAATTTTAAGGCTAACAGTTAGAAAATGCAGTGAGAAAATTTCAACTCTCATACAATGATCTGCCCCCTCCATTTTTTATTATGTCACCAATGACTGGTTAATGGGAAATAATAGGAGAGAAGTGATTGGGTGAGGCCTTATTTTACAGCTAAATCACACCGTCCCAATCATGAACTCCTCTAAATAGCAAAATATTCTTCAGCATGAGTGGCCCTGTCCTTGAGATTTACTACCCTGCAACTTTTAGCTTGTTGCCTGCTTCAGTACCCCTGAAGCCATCAAGCGGCTCCTTTCCAGACGTCTGAGAGCTAAAAGACGCTGATGAGCCATTTGGTTCGGTGTGTTGGAGGACGGAGAAATATAAAAGCTGCAGGATGGTAAGTCCTGAGGACTAAACTTAGAAACTTCCTGTTCTAGAGTTGAATGTGAGGCCATCTAGCTGAAACTTGCTCTTAACTCAACGAGGAAACGATGTGATGAAGAGTGGGTTAAAATAGTTGCTCAACATGATGAGAGACTGATAAACATTGTTATATCAAAACTTTGTTTTATTTCAATTAATCAATCAATTTTATCTATGAAGCACCCTTCATGTTGGAGGCAGCTCACTGGAAACACATAATAAAGGGTCTTTCTGCTGTGGGCTTGAACCGTCCAGGGTCTCAGTCTGCAGGTGCAAATATCAGAGTTGTGAAGTAAACTGACACTGATGGGATACTCCCTTTATATCCATGTTT